CATTGATACAGGACATCACCTTCGGTGTAAATATATAATAGAGTAGATTGCTTAATTTCAACTAAAAATCGTCAAAACCATGAAGTTGATAATCATTTTTGCGGCGATTGCGATGTTGATGACAACTGTAGTTACCGGGGAATCAATAGGCGTAAGTGACTGATATTACATTTATTTTAAATTTAATTATATTAATAAAATTTAGTAACATTTTAATTCTTAATAAGATTTTTAACATTAAGTTTTGATATGGTTTTATATTACTTTTGATATTTGATCTTATAAGTTATATTGACTAAATTGTATGAGATCTTATTTGTATCTATTGTGTTCGAAATTACGTGCGAGGTAGCTCTTGACCGCACAAAAGGTCGATTAAACAACGTTAGATGTTAAATGACGTTAGAGTTTAGAAAGAGCAGTGGAATCTCGCGCACATACATCCATCTTCAAACTATGATCTAATTTATTGTAAAGTATAGTTATTAAACACGGTTGCAATAACGATTCAAGTATTTATTTCTAGCTATTCATGTACAGTAATGTAGAAACATTACTGTACATGAATAGCTAGAAATAGATACTTGAATTAGGTGTAGAAACACCTTTAATTCTTTCTATATTTTGAATATTTATACTATAAGATCGAATTAAGTACTTTGTCATTTTTAGAAGTTATGAAGTTTTAGAAATATTTTCGTTAAATTTAATTTGCGTAAATTTATAGATCTTGTATAGATAAGAAAATCGAAGCAGAAAAAAAATACAACAACGATATATGGCCACGTAGTTCCAATAACAATTATTTTAAGATTATTATATAACAATATTTAAATCAAACATATTGTGTTTTTACTATTTTAAATTTATATATATGTATATATTTTTTTTTCAGCCCAAAGCATTGTAAATATTAGTAGGACCAGGAAAATAAACCTGACCGTTGGAAGGCGAACAAATACAAAATTATAAAATTGTGTAAATTTTGAATGTATCAATAAAACATCAAAATTAATCACAACTAATATAGGTAGTTTATTAATTAGCATTTTCGTATCTATATGATGTCACGTTTAGTTTTTATCTTACCTATTTTCTAATTTCTATTTATAATAAGACCACGAATTCTAAAATTAATAGAATTGCATTTTAATTTTGTTTTATAATATATTAGAATGCAATATACATAAA